ACATATGTATTGTTTAAAAGTTGGGTCCGAAAAAAATCATATCTAGCATTTTTATCGCCTTCAAAAATAATTATCCATATATTGTTGTTCCTGATTAAATATATAAATTATATATTAGATTATTTATTTACATTAATATTAAATTACTAAAAATAATAGAATACTGTATAGTGTTAGAAACTATTTGATGTTAGCGTGAAAAACGGAAAATTAAACACAAATTATAAACATCAAGAATTTAAAAACTTTATTTGATCTGAACAATTTTTAAATATGATAATAATACATTCAATTCAAGCATATGCAAAATAGCTTGATATTAAAGTCCAATAGAATTTCTTGCAATCAACCAAATCTAATGCTCCTAGACAAATCTGTTTTAATACCCGTCTTCTCACCACCATAAGATCCCAGCTGCTTCGTAACCTCGGGTCTAATACTCTTAATCTTTTTCTTGGCTTTCTCGTATTTATTTCGATGTTTAACACGTGGATTCCGCTGCTCCTTCTTACGACGAGGTGTAAGACCCTTATTCTTAAGAATCTGGTAATTAATCTGGCGCTTAGCACCATCGGGAAGAGTCTCATCCTCCTCATATATAACACTGTAATGTTGATAGTTCATCATCAATATCATTAAATGTTAACCCATGCAAATCAAAATTCATGAAAATCTTTTAAACATACTTGGTTTCCTCAGACCGAATCATCTTCTGTTCCTTCACAACTTTCTTCGCATTTTTCACAGCCTGGTAGAAGTCATCTTCATTATCCATATCAATGGCTGCTTGCATGTCATCATCATCCCAATCTTGGTCATCCAAGTTGGCATCACTTTCTTTTTGACTTCGAATTATCTTATTGTTCCTAATATTATCTCGATCTTTGTAGGGAAGGTCAGCATCCCCGCTCTGACGGATTGCTCTGTCGTGCTTTGCCAATTTCTGTGATAGTATGAATTTTTTTTTAAAAAAATATTACGAAATGAAATACGAATATTAACTGTAAATCTCACTTGATCAATTTTAGCAACATAATGCCTTAGAGACTTTTTTCGTGCTTTCTCTTCAGCATCTATTTCATCTAAGGCATCTAAATCGCCAAAGTCGGTAGAATCCTGATTTAATCAAATTTTTTGCTATTTAGTCTACAGAAAAATATTTGAATTATGAACCAATTAAGATTTACCAGCTTTCGCTTATTTTTTGATTTCTTAAAGCTAACGAACTCTTCCTCAACTATAGGTGTTGGCAGTATTTGTGGAGTCTTATTATCTCTATTAACATCATCAGGAGATAATCGAGGCATCTTCCCATTTATTTTCACGTCCACTCTAACCCTTTTTTTCTTAATATGCTTTGATTTTTTTTTTTTTGAATCCACAGCTCGTTCTCCTTCGTCACCATTTTCATTTTTGCTCTCAGTTAAAACTATTGGTAGAATAATAATTGTTGAATAAAACTTCTCAAAAATAGAACTAATCCTTAAAAGACAAGTTTATATGAACCTTCGTCCGGTTGATCAAGATTATCTATAAATTCTTTGATAAGATCACCGACTTTAAATTCCAACTCCTTTAGCTTATCTAAAGCCACTTTTAATTCCACAAGCGCGTCAATTACGGGATGTTCTCGCAGATTTTTTGTTCCCGAAGATTTTAGAACGAGGAAAAAGGAAATATTTGTTAGATAATGCACCAGCGTTTGATGCTTTATCGACAAAAATTTTACTGCTGGGCTATTTATTTTGTTTTTTTGCCGAGCTCTGATTGAAGCAAAAAGTAAAAAAATTAGCCTTGGAAGACAAAAAGATAACATCACAATATTTACTTTTCCAATAACGATATTGTTTCCTGAAGCAACAATGACTTCTTATTGAACTCGCTTAGTAATTCAATCAGCTCTGGAGACTCGCTTTGTATTATTCTTAAAATTTCTTCATGCGGTAAAGAAGCCAGGCGGTCTTTGTTCAAAACTTCAGTTTGAATTTCGCTTGAACTTAAATTACTTAAATTGTAGTACAATTAATTTTGATTATTCAATTATATAACGATGCATGAAATCTTTAGATTCCTTATTGTGGACTACTAACTTGGCGAAAAGATTTTGCTTGTCATTTTGTTTCTTGAGCTTTTTGTCATCCTAGAATAGTAAATCACAACTAAGCTTAATACTCAAAATGTAAATTACTCATTTATTTTAAATTAAAAACAAGCACCATTTTCGATTCTACTAATTCTTCGTGTTCTAAAAAGTCATCTTCTGCCATTTGGCTAATTCTTTTTTTCTGCAACCTTAGCGCTTCTTCTTCCTCCTCCTTAGCCTCCTCCAAATCAGAGATCTCATCGGCATCATAATAATATTTTTTGTGACCACCCCATGTCGCATCAAAGTTTACAGCATCTTCATCCTGTGATACTTCCGATTCTTCGCTGAATTCATCATCTTTATCATCTTCAGAAGTATCTCCAGTTTTTAATGCGAATACCTCTTCCTCGGAAGACTCAGTTTCATCTATTATATATAGCAGTCGTTAACGAATCAACTGTTGAAATTCCAAATGTCATCAAAAAGTACCATAATTCCGTTCATCATAAGTGTCCAGTAAAATTTTTTCCCTTCTAGCGTGAACTATTTGACACAGATCGGTTAGTTATATAAGCAAACTGGTCTAAAGTATATTGAAGGAAAGCCCTCGTACATTCGTCCTCAGAGTCGGGTTCGATGTCGTCCAACTTTTTTATTGCTTTTATCCTTCCACCTGGATTATCATATCTATCGCTTCCTGTTTCGTATTTGGGCTGCTTACCCATTGTACTTACTTTTTTTTTATTTATGAGTGTGATGCTCTTTTCTTCGACTGACCGTACTTATATAGATCCGAAATTTCATTGGTCGAATTTTTCTTATCATGTACTATCAATATGTACTTTAAAATTCAAATTATAATTTGGGTGATAATAACATATAGTATACTCTTAACATTTATTTTAATAAAATTTTAGGTAAAAAAGGATTATATGAAAACTCTTCGACTGAAAGTTTCAATTAAAGACTTTGTGATACATGACTACTATTCATTCATTTATTTCATTATTTGCATCTCGGCAAAAGTTTGAGTTTGCCAAGTATTAACGAGAGTAAAGCAGTTTTTTGTCGATGAAAGCATTTATTTTAACGATTTTTATACTACGAAAATAATAAAAGAGTGATTATTTATTTAGCAAATTTAACTAGTATTAATTATTCAAAGGATTTTTAAAGAGAAACGTTTTTTAGCTGGAAGCATGTTTGTTTCAACGTCTTGGAGAGTTTGCATTTTTATTATAAGACGTCCTCTAGTTAGGATGCAAGATACACTCCAAACCTGATTTAATTGTAGCATTCGAATTATTACATTATATGTATAATATAACTAACAAAACGGATGGAAACGTTTTACACATCTCAAGGGGAAAAAAGGGCCATTACTTCAACTACTTCATAACATTTGCCGACTTCGATCTGCATTGCCTCATCAATTACCTCGTCCAGTGTGGTGGTTTCACTAATGGCAAGTGCAGAAGCTATCCCTCTTTTCAGCCCTCTCACGAACTTCCTAACCAAGAACCTTCTTGGTAATTCGTTATCGGGATCAGTCCTCTTCAACAGCTTACGGAACTTTTGAGCGTACGCAATCACCCTTTCGTTACCCCTCCTGCTTCAGGCCAAAGAATTCTGTTTCCCATTGGATCCGTTGTTTTGGCGTCACAAAATATTGTAGGAAGGCCGGCACAAAGCTCCTCTCGCGATCGTTTTCATCGTCCCAATAGACAAAGCGATCTTGCTTAAATTCGTACCAATCTGCCGCGATGCCATCTAGATAACAGGCTACCAACCTTAGCTTTCTCTTGGACCAGTTATTGCATCTAGCGACTCTTTTGTAGGATTCAAGCCACGAATACGGGTCTTCTCCCTCTTCTTCCTTGAATTCGCGCGGCCTAACCCAGTTAACATTAATATCTTCCCTCTCTTCTATCAATAGTTTAGGCGAATGACTTCGCTAATTCTTGCAGACAGTTCCGGTCTTGTTGGATTTGGTGAGTTTCTGTCTCGATAAGAATACTTTCTCCATTGCTTTCTAACTCCATCTTTCGGTAATGTCGTATAATCTTTCTTTTTTTTCAGCGTTTTTATCCTATACAGTAAATGAAATCACAATCAAACAATTAGTAATAGTTGATTAGTAATCAAAAGACAATCACGAGTTTCAGTGAAAGTGATTTATGTGATGTCGTAATCGCTAACTCGGGATAATCTTTTTTTTCCCTTGCTATCCTAAGTTAAAAAAAAAAGCGTACTTACGGACAAGACTATTTGGCTGACTTAAGCTCACTAATCCAACAGCTAACTTGCACCTATTTATATTGTCACGGTTGATCAGGTGGGTTTCGCGTGACGGTACTGTGAGGCGTGTACAATTGATCGAGAACTTTCTCTAACTTTATTTTGATTTTTTACTTGTGCTTCTTATACATTTACACGCTATAACACAAAAAAGGCTTAGAAACAAAAGAATAATAAAATAAATAAAGAATTATGTGATGTAACCTAGCCTCGTCATTATACTTCATCTATTCTTTAGCATTAAATAAATGTAAATAAAAGATGTATAAAAGAAGTGAAATACATGTTAATAAAAGGACGAACATAGAACACTCGGCCAAATAAAACGTCTCATCAAAAATAAAGAACATACTGTACGTTACTAGCGATTACACGAATCTCTAATTCTTGGCATCAAACTCGCCGATCCACTGTTACATTATTGTCTAAGCAGGAGGAGCATTGTCCTTGAAATATGAATAAATAAAGTTAGTCGTATCCCATATAGGTTTAAGTCCCGAAGTCAGGCCAAAATTTGACCCTCCGTTGAATATTTAAGAATCCATCCGACAAGCACGTACGCAAATCTGCAGAGTCGATCCTTCCTGGTAACCACAACCTTCTCGATATCTCCTGCTACGATCGTTCCAAAATAGATGTGAAGCACTTGCATTTTCAGTTGAGACCTGACCCAATGTTTAGGATGAATTTGTGGTTTGGATATTTCTGCCTGATGTAACTCGTATTGCCGTCATGATCCTCTTTCATTGATCCTTTCTTGAAAAAATTTCTTATGTTTTTTTGATCTCTTACGCTTTTTTTGACATTGTCTTGCTCAAACATACAGTACAAAAAACGGGACACATTTATACTTAAAATCATAGATGTCATACCGTTTGACTCTGTTCATTCGTCGGCCGCGTGACTAAACTAGCGTTAATATGTTTACATTGATCAGTTATGTGCATACGGCATACAACATTTTGCTAGATTTTCCCACCTTGATTTACTTATCGAAACGCCATGATTACGTAAGCAAAACAACGGTTAAGTAACGAGATAGGACGGAACGTTTACAACCTGACTTCTTTTCTTGGATTATTATAATATCAGTTAGCTTGATTTTATTAACGATAAATCGAGCTTTGATTTTGACGCGTCGCGGAAAGAATGGTAGGAATGAGGCGAAAAACAAGAAATCGTCGTTACCTTTGTTCCGTGTAGAGGCACTTTAATCTCGAGACTGACCAGAAGGGCGGTCAAAAGGATATTAGTAAGTGCGAAAGGCCGGCCAAATCATGACACCCTTTACATTATATAGCGTAATAATCCAAGTGTTCGAATTATCATCACGACAACAATATGTTAATAGTGTATAGAAGGATATAATGAAGTGAAGAATGTGGGAATCCGTATAACCATATAATATTATAAGTTTATAGTTCATAACATTCAGAATTAGTTACAACCTCAATCATCTAAAAAATAAAGGCCGACCTTTATCAAGGTATGATTTAATATATAACCCAAAATTTGTCATAAACAACACCTTTCTATTGTCAAACCCTAGAAGGCATGCAGCACGCTCATGGTTAGGATTTTCATTCTTCATATTACATCGACGAATGATTTGTGCAAGAGGCGCGTAAAGAAAAGAATATTTGCACCTTTATTTTGATCATGAATTTCCCAAGGACTGAAACATATGTTTACATCAAGTTCGTTGTTTAAAGATTAGAGGTACAAAAAAATTTTTCCATTGGTAAAATTACATGTGAATTCCATATTTGTCAAGAGTATTAAATCTAGTATCATTTACATGCGTTTAATCGAGAGTAGTGCAAATCATGGTGATACATCAATTCTTTTGTGATGTGACTTTGATGCTAAATTTCTGGTAACCATTGTTATTTTGATAAACAATAACCATGTATTCAATTCTTGTTTCATGTAAAAGCTTTCCTAATAATCCCGACAGCAACACGTATTACGACATTAATAACTCCTTCAAGAATCTTCTACCAATAAATCGACGCATGAAGTAGGTCATGTGTGCAAGCGAGTTGCCGCACGAGTTGGTTGGAATCTGTTTAGAAAAGCTTATACCAAGTTCGTTCCTTGCAGATTTCATGCGATCATTGAGAAAGTCCTTGGAGCAACAAAAGTTCTTTAAAGAAGATCATTTCCATTGCATGTGTAAATATGATCCTTGTTTTTCCTCAGAGTACAAGCAGATATTCCTACCATTATAATGTCATAATTGACGGAAATTATATTCTTCAAATCAATTCCCCGACTATTCATTTTGGTCACTCGGTTAAAAAGAAACTACTGTGTTATCAAAATATGCGATCACCTAAAATATTAGATAAGTTAGGTGGTGTTTACGTAAGCAATCGAAATTTTAATATTAATTCATATTTTCAAAACCTAATCTAAGCAATTACTGATTAAGTAAACATGTGTTATTTGCTATTATAAATATTTCCCATACAGTAATTTTAATAAGAATCATTTGATTTTTGTTATTTTTGTTATTTTATTACGCATCAACGTGTGTGATAACAAATCAATATCGAACGACAATAGCATTTTTAAAAAAATGAATTCTATTCTATTTATATACTGTATATGTTTTGTAGTTACAAATAGTTAAAAATAGTCTAGTCTCTCAAATATATCCAGATCGACTTTACTTCCCTTGATCAATGATCACGCTACCATGTTCTGCATTTATCGAATTCGGAACACGCGGTACTAATTTTTCTTCTCCAGTGATTTCTTTATTACTGCTACACAATGAATGGAATCATATCCTCGAAATTCACTTTGAAAAAAAGAGAGAAAAAAAAAAGTCAAGTGAGGTCTTGTGTCTAATTACTAATATAAATATCATGTTCATCATGTTTTCATATTTAGTTAGTGTTTTTTCCTAAATAGCGCAAAAATACATTGCACAAAATAGCATTGTTACATAGTTAGATACAAAATTAGGTAACGGAAAAATTCACGTCCCGTGACTTGTACACATATGTTCCTATCTGATCACGTTCATTCGAACCATCAAACCTTCACTTCAATTCATTATAAAAAGCGACAATTTTTTCTGCCATTCTCCCGGCCATTCTGGTCTAAATAAGATAAAGTCAATTTCTTTATAAGAAATTTTTTTCTTCCGCCTTGATAAAAAAGGATTTCCCCTTAATTACAAATTTTTAACGATGCCGAATCCCAGAAGGCATGCGACACGCGCGTGCGATGCATGCAGGCAGGCGCACAGACGATGCGAATATATGGCCGAATATATTTGTTGCAGGAGGTGTTTCTTCAGAGGAATGATTTGTATCATTTCTCCAACAACAAGAAGGCGAGGTCCTAGGGACAAGCCATTCTACGAACGGCCCACGGGGAACCGCATAATCGACGCCTTGTGGAGGCAATCCTAAAACCCATAGTTTCATAAGATACTTAACTAAGGTTAAATTTTATATTTGTATAAGTTGTAAATTTGTGCATATGTAAGTTCAAATATATGTATACTGTATGTAATATCAAATATATGTATACTGGCAACCGATTATTAAAAACAAATTTTTTTCTTCTATTTGATTTTTCCTTCATAACGAAAAAAAGTAATGGTCACAAGATTCAGTAGGGTCACATCAATTATTGATATTTATAACTTTATGTTTGTTTGGTAAATTCGAACATATATAAAGTCACGTGAAATGCGGCATGTGGTGTCTTCGACAAAGTTTTTCCTGAACAATGCAAACTTTGTTGTACGTAACACTAAAAGTCTTCAAGTAATCATAATTTATTTTGTTTGCAGATTTGATGAATAATAAAAAGGATTTTCATAAATATGGGTAAAGTGAATAGGTTTGTAAAACGTGAAGTGGTGTGGATACATGAGGTAAAGTGGATAAAGTAATGAGTTCTCGGGGCATGAAGTGGAGTGAATGGGCAATAGGTTTGCAAAAAAGATGTTGGAGTGAAAGAATCTTAAAACGTAAAATGGAATGAATGGGTACAAGGGAATAAAGTAGAATTGGTAGGTTTGCGAAATATGAGGTAAAGTGAGGGGATTCACGAAATGTTAAGTAAAATGAAGTGAATGAATGAATGTATAGTATATTAGCAAATAAAAATTCGCGAATTTTAGTCATGTAATGACCATCATCTAGAGAAATTCACGAGAATCACGAAAATTGTAAAAACTGTAAAAAAAAATCATAAATATTAAATTATTAAAATTAAAAATTTTAAATAAAATATTAGATTAAATGTGATGTTTCATTTAAATCAAAAAGAAAATGATTGAAATTATTAAAAACAATATTTTTTATTACTTATAGTCTCTTCTTATTTTAAATTATATTGAAAATTTTTTATTAAATCTAAAACTATATATACTATATACTGTATATATTAATTTAACATACTACTCATAGTTATTATAGTTTGCTATATTACTTGGATTCTTAATATTATATTATACATCTAATTTTTATTATTTTAACTATCTTTATTATTCTTATTATCACTATTATTTTTAAGATACTATTATACTTTTTATAATTTGCATATTAAAAATTCTGATATTATTTTTATCAAATTTATATAACTAATATATTTAAGATAATTTATTATTTATTTCATCTTATTATTTTTTACATTTACCATAATACAAATTAAACAAAACATTTGAAAATATAGGTTTATATAATTTTTTTTCAATGTTACTTTATAAATATAAATATAAATTATTTGTTTTTTTTACTTTGTTTTTTTTTGGATTTTGTTAATTAAATTTTGTTTTCTATATCAAATAAAAATAAATCAATATATTATATTTATATTATATATTCTTTTTTTTCTTTTCTTTAATCAGACTACAATTCTGAGCATTTATTGATCTTTGAAAACAGTAATACAAACTACAATATACATTGTAATGTTATATTAAAGCTAAACTATAAGTATTGCAAAACACCTGTTAGTAAGTTATTTTAATTTGTACGTAATCCTTGAATCCTTAATACCAAGACCATTATGTCACCCACATTATCTAACTATTTACTAACTATTTTATTACAAGAGAGTAGGTTCATTAAGTTATTACTTTATAATATTAATTATTTTAAACTTTTCAAATCTAACTTTCTAGATATGATTGTAGGAAGTGATAAAGTTGCTCCCTTTTTTTGACCATTCCTTAATTTCAAAAAAATCAATGCCAGTTTACACTCAGACTGTTACTCCTATACAAACCTGTGATTCTAAGAGATAAAAAAATAAAGGAAAAGAGAAAAGATATTTGAACAGTTTGTTCTGATAAATAAAAATTCTTCAAAATTAACCTCAGTCTATCAAGATAAATCTTTTACTATTACTTGTAGGGTTCCGATCGGTTTCGGTAAAAACCAATACCGATCTTTTGGTTTCGGTTTCGGTACTAATTTTTATGTAAAAATACCGAACTGAAAATTTCAATATTGTACCGATCGGTTTCAGTACTGTACCGATCGATATCGGTATTTACCAAAATTTATATTTATAGTATATTAAATAAAATTGTAATTTTTATTTTATTATATTATTGAAATAAAACAATATATATAAATATATTTAATGATT